CTGCAAATCGCCTGTGGTTTTTGTCCTCGAATGAGGAGCCCTGGACAGAGCCCCTCTCTCTCTGTGGGTATTTCCTGACCTTCGGGGTGTTTTACCAGCCTTAGCAAAGCAAAATATTTTTTTTTTAACCCTGGCTGAGTTGATACAAATGCTTGAATGAGGGAAGGATCCCCAGTGCCCCAGCATTTGGCTGTGCTCTGGACAAAGACCTCCAGGTGATGGCTTGTGGCTGTTTCACCTTTTTGGATGAGTGAATCCTTTATCCTCAGCAGTAAGAATCAATTTTGCTGCTCCTCTCTCCTGCGGGGCTTTACAGATAACCTCCGGCAGTAACTATAGGAGTTGCGGGGTCTCGTGCTGCTGCAGCAAAGCAGCTTCCCTGGAACCATCCTCCCCACAATGCGCAAACGAGGGGTTGTCCAGGGTCTGGACCCTGTCCCCACCCTCCTGACTGTGCCGCAGGGAGAAACAGAGACGTTCCCATTGCGGTGGCTGTCCTGGTGGTACCAAGAAACCGGCTGGAAAGTTGAGTGTGGAAGCAGGGGTCCTCCGCTCGCATCTGGGGCTGCTCTGACCTGCAAGCTGTTGGGCTGAAGCTGGTGCAGATCTGCAAAGGCTGGTGGTTGCTTGATGAAAGACATGGATGGATTTGTTTCTCTGCTTATTTTGGCTTTGGTTAGCTTTCCTTTGGGCTCCCAGGAGAGAGGGGAGGTGACTCTGGTCCTCGTGCCTCCCTTCCCCAGGCTGGAGAGCAGCGGGCTGCCAGCAGCCTGGTGCTGGAGGATACCAAAGTCTCCAGTGAGCACTGCCTGTGGAGCAAGTGCAGAAGGGCAGAGTGAAGGAAACATCAGGATAATTTAAAAAAGTGTAAGAAGAGCACACGCTGCTCTTCTTGTCCATGCTGGTGGTCCCCGTGGGGCTGTGGTTTGCTTTTTCCTGGCCTTTTCAGGATGCTTTTCCCAGTGCCATGCCTGTAGGTGAAGCCAAGACCTTGTCCCAACCTCCCGGCTTTCCCAGAGCCCGGATCTCACAAATAACCATCTTTACACTCAAAAACCCTCCAGGGAGCGAAGTGAGGGACGAGTCGTTTCCAAGGGACTCAGTGGATCCTGCTTGCCCTGTCCTGGTGCTGCGGGGTGGTAAGGAGCGGAGCGTTCCAGCGCTGGGAGGTGTTGGAGCATTCCATGGGAACTGGAAATCCATCTTCAGAGCTGGGGTCAGCACTAGCCTGGGTAGCTGGCAGCAAGGTCGCCTGGCTGCTTTGCATGATCGTGTCTGCTTTCACTTGCTCTGCTTTGCGCTCCCATGACGTCGTTTCCTTCTTCCCATGCTTTGATTGGAAATAATTACACCAAATTGTGCTGCTGGAGATATTTTTATTTCACTGTGAATCACAGAAGCATGAATTGCGCATCCCGAGTCCTGGGGCCACGGGTGTGGAGGCAGCACCGGTCATGGGGATGCGCTCACCAGGGATGCGGGGACGGGAGGTGTGATGAGCTTTCTGTTGTCTGCACGGGGCGTGCTTTCACTCCCAAGACAGTGTTGCATGTCACTCCCCGTGGGTGCATGGCGGCTGCCTAGCCTTGAGCTCTCGTTTGAGATCTGCAGTTCAGCAGAGGGTCTGACACCCTGTTGGTGTGCGCAGGCAGGAGGAGGAGGAGGAGGGTGGGATCCCGCTGCCTGCCCTGCTGGCATGGCAGTGAAGGCAGCTTTGGGGCAGGCAGGGAGCAGGGGAAGGGTGTTCAGCTCCGCTAACTCAGCCTTGAACTGTCGCGACTGGCGTGGTCTGTTCCAGGCGCCTTCCCCCTTTTCTCCTGGGCTTCGAGGCGTTTCTGTAATTCTGCACAGCAATCAAAAAAATGGGCTACGCTGCGTTGGTGCCTCCTGTCTCCGACTGAGCACGCAGGCAGGGATCGTGGCCGCTGCCTTGACAAACAGGCAGCAGCAGGCAGGACGTGTTCCCTGGCAAAGGACGGAGCCCGTCTGTCGCCACGCTGTGCCGTCCCTGTGCCGGAGCATTTTAACGATGGGCCAAATCCCCAGGCTGCGGTCTGGGAGCAGGAGGGATTTGGGGGTTCAGTGCTGCCTGGCAGAGGGGTGCTTCCTGCTGCTTGGCATGATTTTCACAGTCTTTGTAAACAGATAAAATTCTCTTTGGGAAAGTATTACCAATGTCAACAAACAGAAAAATCCCAAATTTGGTTGGTCCCCTTGAGTCCCGCAGAGGTGACGGTGGTTTTTGACAGCGGTGATAGTTGCCTGGCCAATGTCTGTGGTGGAAACCAAGCCAGCGCGCTTGGTAGTTTTATAGTTTTAGTTCTGCTGCTGGTAGTTTTATAAAACATGGTGATATCTTACAAATTGGCGATCAGATCACCATGGAGAGGTGCTTCCCGTCCGCGTGCTACAGCTCAGGCAGCTCTCCCAGTGTGGGAGAGGCTGCCAGGGTGCTTGTGAGGAGCGTGCCGATGTGTGCCCGGAGCGAGCCAGGGGCTCTGGAACTGGTAACGCCTGGCTCGGAGCTGTGCAAATGCCACCGCTGTCCCGCTCCCACCCTGTGCGCAGATCACACGCCCGAGATCTGGGCTGTGTTTGGATCGGGGTGGGGGTGTGTGTGTGCTACCGGGGTGTGCGGTGTCATGGGACGAGGGCAGTGTCCTGGGGTGGACCTGTGGGACTGTGTAGCTCGAGAGGAGCAGGTTTCCAGCCCGATCAGAGGTGATGGCTGCAGACGGAGCTTTGCAAGGTGGAGGTCGTGTAGCTGGGCAGTAGCTCAGGCTGTATTTGATGGTGAAGGAGAGACGCATGGGGACTGTGAAAGGAGAAGGAGTCAAGCCTCTGCCCGAGACTGCCCTGGAAAGTCTCGGGGGGACGGCTCGGAGCAGTGGTGACAGCGCGGTGTACCCATGGTACAGCGTGCTGTGCCCTTTGGATGCACCAGCTGAGGACAGGTACAATGATGTTCAAAGCTCGGAGATGCGTGTTTACGTTGCCGGAGACCCGCGGTGCCTTTGTGTGCCCCAGGATGAAGGGCACCATGGAAATGCTTGAAACAGAAAGCGGACCTTAAGGAGGCTTTGCTTACTGTCCTTACTGGTGGAAAAGTGGCTTAAATTTTCCTCTAGATCTTTTGCAGTTGGTGTGTACAAGATGCCCGCAGTGTAAGCTTGTGCCCATCGCCGTGGTACCTCTGTGCACCCTCCCAGGGACGGAGCCTTCAAATCCTGCCCGTTCCTGTTCTCCTTCCCCTGTCCATCTCCTCCACCCGTGCCGGAGGCTTCCCTGGTGCTGCCTGTGTTTCCAAAATGCTGGTCCTGTCCCCACGAGCGGGGCTGTTCCCAGCCGGCCGTGCAGCTTGGTGGGAGCCGGCTCTGCTCCCAGCACCTTGGCTGGCTGCTTGCCTTCCTTGTGGAGGTCTCAGTTGCCTTCCCATGGGTGCTGCAAATGCTGGCACTGATGGATTATTTATTTCTTGGGCATCCTTGATGGCCGTGAGCCACACTTCACCCCCTTCCTGGCTTTTAAATCGGAGGCTTGCATGCTGTGGATGCTTGGGGCTGGGCTGCAGGCAGACCAAATGATTGCACTGGGAGATGCTGCCCTCATGCTCCATGAGCTGCTTGCATTTTGCTCTGTGCCCTGTTTCCCAGCAGAGCTTCAATTTTCTTCTCCTGCCATCCTTGGGCAGCTGGGGTAAATCCCACTGTGCAGGATAAGCCTTGTCCCTGGGCTACGCGTGTCCCATAACGTCCTTTCTGGGTAGCTTCATAGCCATGAGGCTTGGAGCAGCACCGTGCTCTGCTCCGCTGCTGCTTTGACTCCGGGTCGATGGTCCTCTTGTATTATCCAGATCGCTCTGGCTCTTGCCTTGGAAACGCTGCTTTTGTACTGCGAAACAAAGGGCACTCGCTCTCATTTTCCTTAGCTGGCCGAAGAGCAGTGGAATCGATACGAGCAATGGATCAACATCACTCTCAGTACCTGCAGCATTTCAAAATCTCTTAAATGCTTAACCAAGGCATCCCTGAGGTCCATGCTTCACAGTGTCGCAGGCTGGCTGGCTCGGAGGACATCCTCACCCTCCTGGCTCCCCCAGCCCTGGCAGAGAAGCTGCAGGCACGTTTTGCCTGTCCCCATCTCTTTTTGATCCAGAAGGAGATGATTGAGAGAGGGGAAAGGAAAGGGGCTGCTCTGCGCTGTGCCACCTGACTGGGTTTTGGGTGCACCCAGGGAAACCTCGGCTAAACTTTGAACATAAGGATGGAGCGCAGACCCTGCACAGGACCTGCGCTGCTCCCGCTTTTTGTACTTGCTTTGGGCCATGCTGCCTCTCAGAGCCGCTTGCCTCCTCTGCCTTCCTCAGGGGAGTGGTGGGATGAGCTGAGGAAATGCTGCGTTACACTCGCTGCTCTGTTTTGGGTTGGTTTTCTGGTTTTAAGTCAATTCTGGAGTTGCAGGAGTAACTGCTTCTGCTGCACCTGGGATGCTGATCGTGGAGTTCTGTGCCCTCTGAAGGCATGGTGATGGTTTTGGGTACAGGCTGTTACTCTCCCTTGTCTCTTTGCGCCCTTTCCCTTGGGCAAAGTAGTTCGTCCTGCCCAAAGCAGACCCTGCAGAGCCCCTGCGAGGTTTGCTCCCAGCGCAGGGTGCATTGACACTGTGCCTGGCTCCCATAGCCCTGTGTGGAAAGGGCAGGTTCAGTGCAGGACCCTTCCCTGGTGGCCCCAGCACACTGCTCCCCGTGCCACCCCTGCTCAGCCTCAGCAGCCCTGAACCAAATCTCGGTGGCAGCTAGGGGAGCCCTTGGGATGCCTCCTCGGGGCTCTGGGTGACGTCCCACCTTGCTCCTCCGCACCACGCTCTGCTCCTGGGGGACATGGTGGCCCTGACCCCCAGCCCCGGCAGAGCGGGAGGTCCCCCTGCCCGCTGTGCTGGCGGGTTAGTACGGTCCGGGGGTAACCATGGAAACTGTTTTTTCTCCATCCCTCCCTTTGCAGATGACTCGGGCGACGAGGAGCCTGCCTCGCAGTCAGACAAGAGCGAGCTGCACGGCACGCTGAAAACCCTCTCGAGTAAGCTGGAGGATCTGAGCACTTGCAATGACCTGATCGCGAAGCACGGGGCGGCCCTACAGCGCTCGCTCAGCGAGCTGGAGAACCTGAAGCTGCCAGCTGAGAGCGGCGAGAAGATCAAGGCAGTGAACGAACGAGCCACACTCTTCCGCATCACCTCCAATGCTATGATCAACGTAAGTGCTGCCAGCTGAGCCATCGCGTTTGCCCGGAGGCAGAGGGAGAAGCGTTTTACTCCTCCTCTTCCTCCATCATCCTTCTTCCCTCCAGCACGCTCCTGTTTTCTCCCCGTGCACCGGCTTTCTGCAAGAGCTGTGCACTGGCGTGGAGCTCGGGCACGGCCGGGAGCTTGATGCTGGCTCGGTGCCGGCTCAGCAGTGAGGGGATGGGAGTTGGGAAGGTGCAGCCTGGGGAGCGGGCACGGGGCTGTGTAACCCCCTGAGACGCAGGTCTGCTACGTCCTTGCAGCGTGCTTTCGGGGGGGAGCTGCTCCAGAGTGGGACATTTTGGATGTAAAGGTGGGTAAAGGGGAGGCTTGGGGTGCAAAGGGGTTTTCAGCCGTTCCTGGGGGTGCCTTTCTGGCTGGCACGGCAGTTCAGAGCCCGTTGCCTTTCGCAGATCCAGACCCGCATCCCCAGCTCCCTCGCATCCTCGCTGACTTCCATGAAGCTGCCCTCGTTTTACACGACCGGGGGATTTAACCCCCTCGGGGTCCGAGAGCTGTCTCGGTGCCAGCTGCGCTCTCCAAGACCACTTGGTTGGAGGTCGTGCAGCGCGTGCTGGCGCCGCTCCCTGTCTTGTGCAGCGTGATGGTGCTTTCTGGTTATTTTTTGGACAGCTTCTGTTTGGGGTGTGGGTCTGCCTCCATTGCAGTGAGACAGCCTTTCCCGGGGAGCCTGATTTGCCCTGGGGAGCTTTGGGGAGGGGCAGAGAGAGTAAAACTAAATAAAATATTGAAAGCAAAAAAAAAAAAAAAAAAAAAGAAAACTCAGCCCAAAAGCCTAACAGACCTGCAATAATAGACGAAGGTAGAGCTCAGGGAATTGTGAATGGGCAGTGCTGTCGCTGTGCTGCCCCAGCCCTGAGCAAAAGGAGGTTGTGTGTTGCTTTATGTGGGCTTTTAAAAAATAATAATAACCCACGGTGGGAGCCAGAGGGCACTCAGGAGCCCTGTGGTTGCATCCTCCCCATCCCTGCTCGCAGCATTTTTGCCATGGGGGAGACAGTGTCTTGCATTTTGGAGCAGCTTTGGGGGTGCCTGCGCAGTGTTCTCCCCATGGAGAGTTTGTCAAAGTTTTTGGAGCGGGGATGGCAACGTGTGGCAAGTGACACAAGGTGATGGCGGAAGCCTCAGTGCTGCCAGGAGCAGCAGGGGTTTGCTGTTAGGAGGCAAATGGGCAACGGGATGCAGACAGGGAATTGCTGGGGGGAGGATTTCTCCAGCAGCCTGTTGGGAAGGGATGGGCAGAGCAATATTTGTTGTGTCCAGCATAGAGAGGAGGAGGTTGTGATGTGATAAACACAAGCCAGGCTGTCTGGGCGGTGGGAAATAGCACAAAACCTCTTGTGAGGGGAAAAAAAACACAGTTTGTGCAAACCTCTGAGGTGCAGGTAAGAGGGGCCAGGGAGGGAGCGAGGTGCGTGCGTTTGGGCAGACATCGGAGAGACATTTTTAACAGCGTCCTTTGTACTTCAGCTCGTGGCAGAGCATCTCAAGGAGATGTCCGAAGGCTGTAACGTGGAAGAAGCAGGATGGTAGCTGCAGCTCTCCCAGCTTGCTGTTGAGCCCATCATTTCGGGAGGAAGTGACAGAGCTGTGGGCAGGGGGACACTGACCCCCCCGGAACAGTGACACTGTGGGGGGAATGGGTTAGAAAGGCAGGAGGGAGGGGGATCAACAGCCTGACCACCCCGTCACAGTGGGCTGGGGCTCCCAGCTACGCTGTCACCTTTTCCTGCGCGGATCCCTTTTTGTGCCTTGATTTATCTGTTTAGCGTGGGGTGATGCCTTCTGCGAGCTGCTGAGCAAACCCTGCCCAGGGAGCCTCTCATGCGGTTAGGGGGTGGCTCTGTGCAATGCAAAATCTTCTGTATTGAAACATGAAACAGGGAATATTCCGTCTGGCTACAGGGAAGCACATGGAGTCAAGCCATCCCCTGGCAGGAGGTGAAAATACACCCTCCTCCTGCACAACCTCTGTCCCGCAGGCTTCTCCGGGCCATACATCCCACGGGAGCACAGGGTGCTTTTGATGGGGCTGGCAGCTCCTCGCAGGAAAACTTAAAACATCCCTCACCCGCTGGCTTTTGCCCAGAGGTCCCAGCCAGCAGCGGTGGCTGGTGCTGGCACATGGATGCTCCGCATCTGTGCTCTGCCCAGGCCCCAGCTCCAAACCTTGCTGATCCGCTCCCACCCGGCATGGCCGAATCCTGTTGCCCCTGCCCACACAGCAGAGGTTGGCTTTTGCAGGAGATGCCATGGCTCACATCTGCACTGGGCTGGGGATGGTGACATGCGGCACTGCCCATTCGTTGCCGAGATCGCGCTGCCTTTGCTTCTTTTTAGGCTGCACCCCTGAGCAGTTTAAGGGCGTTCGGACCCGTGAGCTGTCTCTGGCCCTGCCCTCTTCCCGAGCAGCACCGGGCTCATGGGAGCAGCCCGAAGCTCTGCACTTGGGCCCTGCTCCTGGCTGGGACCCATGTGGCCAGCGTGCCCTGGCCAGTGGGCAAGGGAGAGGGCAGGGCTGGGCTTTGCCGCCTGTGGCGGGGAGGAATGGATGCTCTGGGGCCGGTGCTTGTGGTTCCTGTCCAGCTGCCTGTGATTCGATTATGCAAATGTCCCTGGAGCCACAGGGCGCGGCAGCAAGCGAGTAGTAGAAATAAATACATATGTAAATGAAAGAGCTTCGCTGTGAAGGTGACTTCCTCGCTGCGCACGCTGGGTGCCCGCCTCAGCTGACTCCAGGTGCTCTGGAGATGGGGAGGAGAAAGTGGCTCAGGCTGCCCCAGCCTGAGTGATGCTCGGGGTGACAGAGGAGGGTTTGGGCAGAGGCAGGGTGGGATGTGCCGGACCTTTGCGTTACAGGTGAGGGTCTGAAACACAGAGGGACTGACTGTGGCAGGGCTTACATTTAAGCCCAGACCTCTACAGCCACCCATTTGCTCTGTTCCCATCGAACTTCTGGAAATCTCACATAACACTGTGCTTGGTGAGACTCGTGGCGGAGCTCAGCCTCACTGGGACCAAGACGCCCCATGTCAGCGGGGCTGTGAGGACGAGGAGGAGATGCAGAAAAGCGAGTCACAATCTGCCATGGGGGAGGAGTGGGAAGTACGTAAAAACAAGAAGCAACAAATTAAAGGGATAATTAGAAGAACAGGGACAAAGGGTGCTGTGCTGAATTGCATAGACTTGCTCAAGGAGATGGAAAAACTCCCGTCTCATAATTTAGCAGCAGACAGGAGGGCCCTGCGGATGCGTGGAGGAAGTTTGGGCGTCAGGAAGAGCTCGCAGGGCTGTGGGTGGTGCTAGAAATAGGTTTTAATGGGAGAGGGGTTTGCTACGGCAAAGCACGGAGGCAGCTGAAGTGCGTGCAGGCGTGCAATGGCTGCGCTCTCCTTTTGGCATGCTGTGTGCTTCCTCAAGGGATGTGACCATGGAGGGCAGCCGGGCTCAGGCTTGGGCTTGGCCGCGTGGTGCTCCTGGGTTGGTTTGTGTTTTCCCTCGAGGTTTATGAGGAGTAGGGGTGGAGGAAGGCTCTGCTTGACCGGCGCAGCCCGAGCAAGGAGTGGTGAGAGAGGCAGCCCGGGCAGGGCTGGGGTTGCAGGGTGGGAGGTGCTGAGCAGGTGAGATTTTGTGAGGAGGGAGCCCCATGCCGGCTGGCGTGGAGCAGGCGGTCCCAGGGACCCAAAGGACTCCACGTCTGCCCTTATGAGAGGCCACCGTGCTGGTGGCTGCCCAAGCTCATCACGTGGAGGATGCCAGCACCCACTGTGAGGCAGACTGACTTCCCACCTGCGTTTTCCTTTCCCACGGGAACAGCCTCGTCTGGAGGACCGGCACCCCAAGACATCAGCAAAGAGCATCCTCTGAACCCTCTGAGCCTGCAGGGAGGGTTTCTAAGTATGTGAAACACAGCGCTTGGGCCAGAAGTGAGATGGACAACAGTGTGTGCTGCTTCTCCCCCGGGGAAGGTGGCCATGGGCTGTTTGTTGAAGCTTCTGCCCAGCACCATCCCAGAGGCTGCGCCCTCCAGTCCTGGCAGCAATTCTCTCTGCAGAGCCCTGCGGGGCTCTGCTGTGGCTCAGCAGCAGTCTGGCGTGGCCCTGTGCCACGGGCTGGTGGCTTGAGGAGCCGCCGACCTCTCCCTGCAGCCATGCTCAGTTCCTGGGGACTTTGGCCTGGTGGAGGCACCCACTGGTGGGCACTGTGGGTGGGTTTGCGGGGGGTCTGCGTGCCAGAGCTGGGCGGTTACAGCTGCCCAGTCAGTTTATTTGGAGACCTCCTGGGTGCCTGTGCCGGAGCGAGCTGCCCGGGCAAAAGATGCGCTCGTCTGCCATCCCCTGTCCCAGCTTCGCTCCTGTTTTCCTGAAGCACTGAATCTCCTCTGCCCCTGTGGGGATGCTGCTGTGATTAATACATACTCCTAAAACTGGTTTCACGTTAAACTGGACTGATGTTGAGCACGTGCTCTGAGCGGCGTCAGGTCCACCAGAGCAGCCTCCGCTCTGGCGTGTCCTTTCTAAGGGTTTATTTTAGTGGCACATTAAATGCCATGGCTGTTGGTGTGTGCTTGCAAAACTGCCTAAAGCTGGTTGGAAATGGAGTCCCCAGGATGTCCTTCCTGGGGCTCGAACGCTGGGGTGACCACATGGCCAGGTCCTGGTGCAAACCTGGCTGGGTCCCAGCACAGAGCTGGCTGGCACGGATGGATGTGTGATGCTGTCCCTTGGGGTCCCCAAACCCGTCATGACCCAGGCAGGATGACGGACCCAACCTCCCCTCTGCCTGCATAGCGCTCCCAGCAGCTGGGTCAGGGATGCTGAGCAGGGAGGGACTAGCAGCTGGGCTGCTCCCAGTTCACCCCAGTATAACCAGTGGGGCTGGAGGAGCATCCTTACACCGCAGGGATTAATTCAGGCGCTACAGGGAGCAAGTGCCAGCTTGAACCCCTGG